TGTGACTTTTAATGATGAGACCTTTTTTGTAATCAGGCTCTCAAAAAGTATATAACAATTTGGATATAGATTTATCGCCCAACATATCGGTTATCGGCTTTCAAAAATAAAGAATAATCGGTTATCGTATCGGTCAATTTTCATATCGGTGCATCCCTAGTTACAAAAGATTTCTATTTCAAATAAAGGTTTATCTTGTGAACTTTCTATCCATCAAATAACATCAAACATCAAATAACTGCAGCCTTGGTGAGCATAAGACTTCTTTCAAAAACCAAACTTTCGAATGGTAGTGTGTGTGCATACTAGAAATAATAATAATAATAATAATAATAATAATAAAATTTAATCATGCTCTCTTCCACCGCCAAATGTTAGTTAAAAACTTCGCCTGATAAATGTACTTAATTAAATACTACAGTAAATGGCGAAGAAATGTGGAGTTTGTGGTGATAACAGAAAACTAAATAAATCTTTGGGAGATCTGTCAACAGTGAAGTAAATCAAAGTTTTGTTTAATGAGAGCGACAGGATGCTGCGAGGCTAAGCTAACGCGCTAGCACTGCTGAGAGGGCCACAGATCATCCTAAATCAAAATTACTCAACGGTAAAACTTGACCTAAAACGTGTACGGTTTAACAACCCTTTGATAAGTTAAAAGCCAAATAAAATAATGTAACAGATTAAGAATTGCTTACCGTTCCTCTCCGGCGACTAGGCGTTGGTTACGTCCGGGTTTGAGAGTATATCAATCTGACGTGAATGAAAGCGAAAAACGTCTCGTCGTAGTTCCTGCAATATCCAGCCAGCCCACCCTGCGCACACGCCCAACACAGGTTGTAGTTCCTATTAAGAGGCCGCTAGGCCTTCTTCTTTGGGTTTTAACGGCAGCTTGCATCCTTAACGTTGCATTACTGCCATCTTCTGGTTCTAATTATTTCCCATATACTTTAGACATCATATTCTTGTCATGAGTCCCGTTTTAGTCAGAAAGCAAATCAAATATTTAATTCCTTGTTCACTCCTACTGCAGTCCATTATATTATTTACTCCACGTCCTGTTAGTCCTATTTTTCCCATGTCATTTATCATGTCCATCCTCTGTAATTCATATTTTGAACAATTAATAAGCACATGTTCTACAGTCTCAGGTATTTGGCACTGTTCACAAAACCAGTTGGGTGTTTTCCCATAATATGAAGAGTGCTATTTAATTTATTATGCCCTATTCTTACTCTGGTCATAATAGTCTCTTCTCTCCTGTTTCCTCCCTTATTTTCCACAGTGCCAACTCTTTTTTAAATCAAGTATAAATGTCTTCCTTTTAGTTCTTGATCCCACCTTTGTTGCCATTCTTTAATAATTTTTCCCCACACTATACTCTTTCCTTCTGATCTTGAAAGGTTGATAACTGCTTCTATGCTCTCTTTTTGCAGTGCTTTCTTAGCTATTTTGTCTACCTTTTTGTTTCCTATAATACCCATATGTGCTGGTACCCACATAAATATAACCTCATCACCTTATATTCTTGAATAGATAGACATAATGTCATAAAAAAGCTCCTGATGATTCTTAACTATGCCGGTCTTGAGACTCTGCAGTACAGAGACAGAGTCGCTGCAAATTAAAGTTCTGTTTACCTTAGAATATTCAATCCATTCTAATGCCATCAAAATGGCAAACAGCTCAACAGCATATACACTTAAGTGATCTGAAGTTCGCCTGCTCATTTCACTCTTCTGGCTAGGAACTACAATTGCAGCACCTGCAACTCCTGTTATTGGGTCTTTTGATCCATCTGTAAAAATTTGCTTAAAATTAATGTATTTCTGGTTCACATGTCTATAAAATCCACTCACCAAATCAACTTGATTGTTTGCTATTTTGGTCTGTAATCCCTCCAAATCCACTGTTGGAGTGTCAGACTTCCACATAGGGATACTGGGCCATACCACAGTTTTACAAAACTCTTCCATATACTCCCAGGTCACATGCAGCATCATCTCCTGTCCAACCAAAACTAAATCTTTTCCCCTTTCCCTTTTCCCAGGTAATAGAGCGCGCAGGCCGGATTGTATAATTCTCCAGTTGAGACAGTTTTGCATATCTGGCAAAGGGAACTTGATTGGTTGACCAATTACGAGCTCCTGAGCTGCTGTTGTGTTGGATCTTGATTAAAGAGACGGAAGTTTATTTACTGGTGCAAGTTCAACCAACCAAGAAAAAACCAAAACAATGTTTCGCTATTTGAATGATGTGGATGACAGCCCATACATGATGTGAGTATTAGTACTATCAAAATGACAACATGTAGTTGAGTGTTTGAGGTGAACATCATAATCCATTAGTGCCTTAAAATAAATTTTAAGTACATTTTATGACTGTAAAAGGATGTGCATATTATGTTGTGACAGGGATCCGTTCGCAGCACAAAGACACCAGATGAGGGGTCTCTTTGGGTCTTTTGGGATGGACCCGTTTCCTTTCACCCCTCAGATCCAGCATCCACGTACACGCTTGCAGGTACACAATAGAGCTGTAAAAAGGGCTCGATTTGCAGATTTTTAACCCTTGTGATGTGCAAAAATTGTTCAGCTAAGTTGTTCCTGATCAAAAATGACCTGCCTTTAAAAACTGCTTGTAAATCTCTCATTATTCTGTATTACCCCCAAATCCTCTTTTTTTTTTTTTTTGGCTTGTTTTCTTTGTTAGCACAGATTTAGTTTTTTGTTATTTAGAACTGATTGGTCATAGGCCTCTTGAGCTTATGTTTGAGTGAAAGACAAAAAAAACATTATTTGTGGATAATTTTGGCAGGTTTCGTTCAAAAGCGCATAAACTCAGTGAGACTTATGATCAGTCAGGTCTGCAAAGAAATACAAAACCTGTGGTAATAGACAAAAAACTTTGATAAAAAGATTGAATCCAATATTTAGTAGTAATGTTGCATAACAAGAAATTCATAAGTATTTGTAGGCTGGCCGTTTTTGACTGGGAACATCACAAGTGTAACAAGGTGGGAAAAACTTATCAGGAACATTTTTATGAATTTTTACAAGGCATGTGACTATAATGTGATGCGTGTGATAAACATCCCAAATTCGTAATTCGAATCATTCATAAATGTGCTGTTGTCAAGACAAAGAAGCACTGAGGTCTTCCTGCCAGATTCTGCTAAAATAAAAGCTGAGAAAAAGCAAGAACTCCATCAACATTCATAAATGTTAGTATTGTCATTTTACCGTTGTTCTGGAAAATAAAATAAAGACAATAATAATAATAATTACAACAGCTCTATTAATACATTTATTATAACGGTCACACAGAGTGTTCAAATTGGGATCTGTAATATTTTCTAATGTTTTAAAAGAATTCTCTTCTGCTCAGCAAGGCTGCGTTTATTTGTACATTAAAAAAATACAATGTACATCAAGAAGGGGGGGGGTCTCAAAAATTACCAAATAATATTATTTTACTTATTAATTTTACGTCAAATTGTGCTAGAATGTTAAAAAAAAAATTCAGTGTTAAGTAAATCATTTTAAATTGTTAAAAAAATGTTTTACATTTTACACGGTAAAAGGCACATTTTGGCTATTTAATTTATGCAATGGTGAAAAAAATTGGCAAAATACTTGTTGGAAAGAATTACGAATAACTGTGTTTGGTATTCGGTCAACTTCGGCCAAGAATTTTCATTTCGGTGCATCCCTGTCCATCATCATTGTTATTCATCATTAATCTGAGTTTTACGTTTTATTAATGCAATGATCCAGGCATTTGGCAGCAGAAATTCTTTAAAAAAAAATTTATTTTTTTAAATGACCGTGATAGCCTGGTAAAACTGGATTGCTGATGCTTTTTAAATATTTTTTTTCCCTTAAGTACCACATGTAGAAGTGTCAAAACTGTTTAATCGCCCCTAATTGTTTCTTAAATTGTGTATGTGTGCTTTTGTTTAGATCAGAGAGACGCGTCAAACAATGCGGGACAGTACGAGTGGGCTGGAGCGAATGGCTATAGGGCATCACATTGGTGAGAGAGGTCACGTGATGGAACGCTCAAGGAACCGTCTCACAGGAGACCGTGAAGAGAGACAGGACTTCTTCAATCTGGAAGAGAGTGAGCCAAATCCCTCTTTCTTTTTTCCTCTGCAACTGCTTAAATGTCGTCGCGGACCTTTGTGAACAAAATTCTCTTATTCACTATTGTAAAAATCACTCTTTCAGGTGAGGCAGCTTCCTTTGATGAAGAGTGGAGGAGAGAGGTGGGCCGGTACCGCCCCCATAATGCCCGTAGTTTAGACTATGGGCGTGAGCGGAGTGCAGGGGTTGGACAGCAGCTGGCCCTGACAGCGCCTCCTAGCTCCTCCTCCTCTCCCTCGCCTCGCCACGAGTCACCACGCCACCATCCTCCTCACTCCCGTCCGCGCTACGACTGGTGAGAGGTACGAATCTCACACGGCCCGAATGAAACTTGTCTCTTTGAATTTGTACGTTATGCTCAGGCTTTTTTTTTTTTTTTTTTTTTTTTTTACACGTTGTGTATCTGTTTGCAGGTGAAGTTATCTAGCTGATGCTGTGAAGATAAAAGTGAGGGATTGAGAAGAAAATTATAACTGAGGGGTCAAATGTTTGATAGATCTGAACTGTCTTAATATATGTAGTCAGCTCCTTAAAGGGACGTGTGCTGGCATGA